CCCAATGAAATATGATGGCTTGTGTGGCTCATAATCACGGGTCTGCCGATTATTTTCGGCACCACTAAGTTATTATAATATAACTGATGATGTCACCCAAACGCCTGCCCGCCGTTGGCGGGTAGGCGGTGAATAGGTTTTCCGTTACGTGAGAATAATTTATGTTGAATCTCTCGATTGGAAGGTATGGTAGTGTAGGCGTTATTATCTGAGTATGTTATGCCATTATTATAATCAGTTTTGGACATTTAGTTTATTATCGCTGTTTTCAAAATTATTGATTTGATGTATTTTTTGAGTACACTTCAATACACAACTTATATATTTTATGCTACAGTAATCCAATTTAAAAAAACAACTTTCTGTTATATAAAAGAGCACCATATAAACTATCATTTTACAGAAATTTTCATTTAAAGTCACATGATAAATAGTGGCTTTTTAGACTGCGTCACCTGTTTCAACCCTCCATTCCAGAGTCAGCATTTTATTGGTAGCACGTGATTGGTTAACAATTTAAAAATTATGATTAAAAAAACTCGTTTGTTTCATTACATTCATTGATTTTATAATAAACTAATATATTGCATTAATGTGTTAATGAATTCTTGCCATTGTAGAAAAGAACAAGACTCATGCTGTCAGCCAATTAAGATCTGTAACCATTTGTGCAAGATCACTAAATGCTGGTAAATCGTTGCTAGAAAGTCCACTTGGCTAAGCACTGGAGGAATATTAGTTATGTTTCCGATAATAATAAATTCACTTGCTGTTATTCATTTTCATTTGCAGAACCAAAGTTTCTGTCAACTTCTGCTTTGTCATTTAGTCTTGAAGACACAAAAGCTTTGAATGTGAAATTCGATGGCTCAGAAGATCCAAACAGTGTGATTCCTGGTCTCAATGACATGAATGGTTAGCATCTTATCTTAATACAATAATCTTCATTGATAACACACACATATTTGTTATCTTTTGCAGATACAGAAATTCCTACCATGTTACTTCTTCCTAACATCTCAAAAACGGATTTTGGACTAGATGTAGATGAGATTGATCATCTCGAGCTGTCTGATGATGCTAAATCCTTCTTCTTTCATATGTCAAAAATGGTAAAAAATGAAGATGCTGTTTCGGGCACCTCTGAGGCAAAAACCGATACCGTTGTTATGACAATATTGACTAGTCTGGCAATAGTATGGCCACTAAACATCTCGTAAGTTATCCTTTTTATCTCCTAAAAATCATGCATAACAATATTTGCTAACCATCACTCCCTATCATAGTCAACATCCTTTACTTTCTTTTACCATTAAAGAACGTAAAATCAAAGCTAATCCAGAATTCACTATTTCAACACGTAATATCAGCATTGTCATTGTAGAAGTATGTATAAATCATTATTTGCAGTTTTAAATATTTTCATGTCAGTTTAACTTTGTTACAATATCAATATTGCAATTTTAGGATAAACACCTACGGAATATATCAGTTGACAATGGCTGTGGTGAACCACAGATTGCAGCAGAACTTTTGGCAGCTGCATATGAAAATCGTCAAAAGAATGTTATGGGAGATCAAGTGCTTTTTGCTGTTCGGTTCGTTTGTTCTTATGTCACATTTTATCGCTTTGAAATCAGTAATAATTACTTTAGAGAATTGGCTGTTGGCTTGCCAGCTAATGAACATATTATCATGACACGTTGGCCAGCACAAAATAATAAGACTTCAGGTATTAACCTAAAAACTGTTGATGGACGTCGTCAAGTACTTCGTTGTCTTATTGCAATGCGTAATCATATCAAGACAACTCATCAATAGTACTTATCAGAAATATATAAACAAAATGTCAAAAATAAATATTATCTTGCTAGTTTCAATAAGTAAATAAAAAACATTTTAACAGATCAGTAATTTGTTTATTTCTACAATTTTTTAATTCTGATTTTGTTGCAGCATGCCCATTTACAGTCAGACCTCTCTAAATACCAACCTCTCTTAATATTAATGCGACTTTTCTCTAAATGCACAGCAATTGCTTGGTCCCATGATGGGACTTAAGATAAGTGCACATTCTAATTCTATGTTCTGCAATTGCAAGCTTTCTTTCGGCCCTGTAAATAGCCGATTTTGCTATTTACTACGGAATTATTTGATTGGTCAAAAATTCACTCCCATGTATTTTGGATCGAGTTGGTAAAACCCATGTATTCTGCGGCGCTTTTCTATAACTACACCAACTTGACCACTTGATCGTAAATAGTGATAATTCGCGAGTAGATGTCTGAGAGGGAAATTGAGTACTAGAGTGACGAATACGAATAGTGATATAAAATTCTTTATATAAA